CCTTAAGATTCATTTCTTCCTTGTTATATCATTTTGGCAGTTACAAAAGTTATCATAAGAACTGTAGGACATCTTCAGTGTTATCACAAGAACTCCAGGACATTAAAAAAGTCAGGTATAAATTTGTTTGCATGGGTTTTATGATTGAAATTTTGCATTATAATTAGGTAATTATGTATGGCAAGGATGAAGATCAGATATAAACAGGTCAATACATGCATGGCAAATGTTTTCGAAATTTTACTCAAAACTACCAGATTTCAAGCAAATGGCCTTGGAATCATTAGTTTTTGACACATCATACAAGAGGTAAGGCAAGTTTAATCACCAAAGGTCAATTTAGCACCTGAAAATGAATTAACTATATATACAGATAATTATCCCCCTTCTTATTTATTAGCATTTTCTTTAATATTCAGATCACTTACAGGGAAATATCAGAAAACGTTCGAAATATAATCTTGATTCAAGATATTAAATTGTAAATATATATTTTATCAAATGTTTATTAGAATAAAGTAATGACTACTTGTAATTGTCTTAGCATACTTCAGACTAAAACTTTGTTATATATACTTACCAAAATGCTGAAACATATACAGGTATATATTAAGTGATTATTTATTTAAACTGAAAAGTGTGCAAATCAGATCACCATTTTGTATTAAACATTATTTTAGGTGACAACGGACACTTTCCGTGGTTCTACCATAAATGTCATTTAAACCAACTTATTTTAGTAATAATTGTTATTTATTTAAATTTTGTGCATTAAATGTCTTTGATCTTCATAAAAAATATCATATTTGAAAAAATGCCTTTGTAAATTATTGATTTTGATAAAAAATTCTATAATTTTAAATCGTCATATCAAAGTCATTTTTTATTTTTTTTTATCATCAAACTCTTGGAATATAAACATAATTATAATATCTGGGGAACCGTGTCTCAGATTTTTTCTATCTTTTCTCAAAAAAATATTACGTAACGTCAAACAATTTATGCGACTTTTTTCACCATACATATTACGTAATTAAAGATAATTAAGTCGCTGATTGAGCAAACAAAAATCCCTGACACGGTTCCCTCCGTAATTGAATTCCCTTTCATGTGCTTTAAACCGCATGTAAATTGCTTGTTTATTAAAAAAGTTATGCCGATTCAAAGTTAGTCCGACGCGCATCAAACGAAGTGTCATAAATCGGCTGTTCTCTCTCAGACCCCTACGTTTTCCGTTAAATTATTGTGTAACACGCAAATATCATACCAAAGGGGGTGACACGATGCGGTAATACATACTCTAACAACTTTTATGACCCAGTGACATCTGACCAATTAAAAAGCAATTAAATATCATTTTATAGCAGAATTTCTTCAAATCTTAACGTGATTTACTGTCCGTCTGGTATCTGTCGCACATGTCACGTGACTATCGGTAAAATTTGAGGCACTCAGTGGGATAAAATGGAACGCACTGCTATCGGTAATCATATTGTTTCACTTTTGATGTTATTATTATATTATAATATTATATCAGTGTCACTCTGCCTGTGTATTCGTGTATGAAATTCCGTTAAAATATAAATTAAGATAACGAAAAACTGTGCTCCTGACAGACTTTTAAAGTCCGTGCATGGTACGCTGTACAAATAAGAACGGGATATTATATATTTTTCTTACACCATGCCGTCTTTTTATTATGTCAACATAATCCAATTTCATAATCATTTTCATAATAATGTTATTGGAGTGTGCATATCATAATTAATTAAGTTTAGGAAATTATTCTAGTGTATCACGTAATACTTCCTGTAATTATGAATTGATTGAAACCTTTGTATTGAGAATTTTCCAATACATGTATAAAGAATAAAATTTTATTACGTTAACATGTTCCATATATGATTAAAATGAATTCCTTGTGCAGTTTATTTACAATTTATATGTACACTAAAGTGAGTTAAAATTAGTTTCTATGAAGATAGTAAAAGTGAGTTAAAAAGGTTATCTCTGGATAAAGGCTTGTTTGCGTCCCCCCAAAATACGGACAAATCGGAAAATTAACCAAATTACGATTTTTACTTTTTGTCAATATTTGTTAAAAATAAAAGAATTATTGTTTGAAAATGTCGATGAATATCTTAAAATATGGTCCTGTGTTATTTTCCCGAACTTCTTATTCACACAAGTTCTAAAAATGAATAAAAAATATGAAATGCTGACTTTAATACCAACAATGGTCAAGGTTTAAAAGAAAGGACCTGTCACATTGAGTCATATTTAACGTTTGTTGTCATTAATTTCCTCTTCGTATTGTGTTCTAGATTTGTAATCTCAAAACAAAATAATTGAATTATGATGGAGAACTAATAATTTTCCGTTCTCATATTACATATCTAATCGGTATATGTTTCAGTAGTAACGGGGAATATTCATTATGAAAACTTGTTTTCTTTAATGCTATGGTAAGTCCTAGCTTTTTCTTGTAAATGTGTTTAAACGGTTTGCGATTTTATAAACAGAAACATGTTTCATAGTTATCTTAAGCTTAGATTTTTAAGAATACAAAATTGTCGTTATTTTTTTGTTTCAGTTGTTGCATTATCATACGTTATAGATGAAAATATGTTACTCAAATCAAAGTGTTAAAAACTTGATACATGGGCTTATTTATAATAGAAACACAATTTCAGTTTATTATGGTGGTGTTATTGAACAAAGCAATATATGAGTAAAAGTTAATTATTGTCTTTATCATTTTAGGCTTCTTGGACAATGTTTTGGCATGCGTTATTCCTTGCTTTGGTAAAAAAATGTAAGTTTATTATTTAACGTTTATCCTGATCACATGAAACGACAACAAGTTAAATGACAGTTCATGGAAAACGTTTCAGAGGAAATTCCAATGTTTAAATTTAGGTTCGATAAAACATAACCGTTGTCATTAGTGATTCTAGTTTAATTTCAAATATTAACTATTTTCTGGCATATGAACTTAAAGTTAAATCATCTTCTTATATGATTTGTATTTACTCTAATTCTCTAACCACCTGTCCCTTATCGCTGTTGTTTGGAATTCCGCCAGGCATTTTGGAATATTAAATGTAAGGAAGCTATTCAGTTAGCTTACAGGACGTTAGTGGTAGTTCTACATTTGTGCCGAACATATTTGTTATTATATTATATTTGCCATTTTTATGCTTTTAATAAAACTGAAATGTAGATTAATTATCGACATTATTATCTGTTATTCTGTTGATACATATACAACATACATTGTCAGCTTTAGATAGGTAGAACTCCGTTGAGGCGGGGCCATATACGTCCAAGTACGTGGCATAAAAACAAGAAGAAATCATAAATAAAAGATTCTAAAATATAGGTTATAAATGTCACCGATGATGTAAAAGAAAATTGAATAGTCTTCTTACTTTTGAGATAACAAAATATTAGTAATTTATTCTGATATACCCCAGTATGTTTCCATTGCATGCATAAACATTTTATATTGATTTTTTTAGTTTTTTAGTACCATATGTCGATGTACACTTGTGTGGCTTAATTATTTGTCTAGACATTTGTGTCAATTTTACAGATTTTGCATCAGCGGATCCTATTCTTTCACCCAAGTTTAGTGAGGTAATAGAAAACAGCAGTTTAGAATTGACATGTTATGCTTCAAAAAACACAACTGTAATATTATGGTGTACTTTACATAATAACGAGCTTATAGATTTAGTTTTGACATCGAAAGAAGGAGAATGTACTAAAGAAGGGTTAATGGCTAAGGATAAAACTCTTGAATTTAGCTGCTGCAGTAATGGTACATTCAAATTGAATATAAAAAGCGTGGATATAAGAAACCATGGTCAAGCATGGTCTTGCTATGATGAATTTAATTGGAGTAATTTTGCTTACATTAATATCAAAGGTAAAATTTAATCTTTTACGATTTAATCTTTGTTTTTAGAGTGTTATAGATTGCCAAGCGTTTTGTAATGTGACAAAATAACGCAAAATGAATACAAAGTCTCAATGCATGCACAATGCATATCCTACCACATGTATTTACAGAGTAAAAAGATAAGAAAATCAGTATCAGTTTTCAGTAGCGTTTACAATAAAAGTATTGTACTAAGTACAGGGTGTGTAGTAGACAGTTATGAATTTAGCAAAAGGTTTGAGTCAGAACTGAACATTCATGCCGATGACACAACACCGGCAGTGTGTTCCGCTTAACTATGGTTCCAGGGAAACATGAATACTTCAAACATTCCGTTGACGATTGATGAATGTCTTAAAGTGAGAAGTTTTACATCAGCCTCACTTGTGCAGTACTTTGGTAAAGAAGTTTAAACTTTTTCTTTTTCTATTATTTTCATTATTTTTAGCTTCTATATTCAACGACTTCTGTTGAAGTGAATTTGTTATTAAGTCTGGTTCTTTATCGTATGTAACCAAAGGGACTTATAAAGTCCAAAACAGATTAACTTCATGTACAACAATGCATACAATATTTCATCAGATTTTATATCACATAGTCATATTTATATACTACTTAAGAGAAAAAAACTTTGACGCAATTTAATAATTTTACGACTGCATATCTGTTCACACCCATGCAACGTACATGTAAATGAAACATACTTAATTCATAATAATTTATTTTCTATTTTGAAAAATTTAACGATGAAAAACCGGACGATTAACCAAAGCTGAATGAACTTACATAGACCGACATGCTACATGAAAATATCGTGTACTTATGCAACGTTTTACTAAATATCCTACCGGTGACTAAGTAACTAATAAGTTACTTAATAATTTCTCTCAAACGAAAAAAAAATTTCTTCAGATTTTTGAATTATTGTACTAAAATGTCCTTAACAGATAATGAACTAAAGGGTAATACATTTTCGATTTTCTTTTTTCTTTCAGTCCCCATCAAGTACGTGAAATTTGAAAATTATTTCGAAAATTTCATAAAGACAGTAGAAAATATGACAACAACGTTAACTTGCGAGACATCAGCAGGACGACCTGCTGCAAGTATTACATGGAGGAAAATGTCTGGGAAAGGCATAAGCACAGATTTGACACAAACTGCGAAATACAATATTTCTGAACTAGACAATGGCATGATAATATCTGAAAGCAGCATTGATTTGAAACCGCTACGATTGGACAATAATACTCGTATAATTTGCGAAGCGACGAATAAGATATCAAATATAACACAAAAAGAAATTAGATTGTATGTTCAATGTAAGTCGTAGTTTTTTTTATTTGTCTCGTTTATCTATTTACTTCACAGACAACAAGTTCTAATGATGAGTGAATTAATAATTAATTTAACACATAAATTAAAAAAAATTGTTATTGAATGTTCTAAATCTAATATGAAGTAAAAGCTCTAGTGTAGGAAGCTTAAACAAAAAGAGCTAATAGATACATGTATGCACCTGCTTCTGCAACATTCCGTAGTATAATAAATACATTTCGCACCACAACATTGTTATCCAAATCTTACAGTTATATTGATATAAAACTACATTTGGTCGTTTTCAGTCTATTGGAAATGTGCTTGTATCTTTCGATCATCAATACAAAATACTTACATACAAAGCATAACGTTGCAAATTCACTTCAGAGCAGGCGGAGATTTAACATTATATGCTAATTCACTTTGATATCTTTGATATCACACAAATACGACTGAGCATTGCATATCCGCAAATATAATGTAAGGAACTTTAAAGGCACTTCCAGAAGTAGTACATTCTTTACAAAGACTATTAACCTTTGCATAATTATAGAAATACGGTTCCAAAATATCAAAAACATAACGGTATCAATTGCGTTATCGTGTAATGTTAAACATGGAATGTATTAGTAAGAATAGTTACTTTGTTGTCGTTTAAGTCTGTATATATGCAAATATTAGCAGAATTCAGCATGTACAAATATATTTCGCAGAATTAAATAATTGATATTGAAATTAACTTCATAAATTGCCTTTTTGAACGGCTGTAGACTTATTCCTTTGTACATGTATCTTATGAGAGTAGTATACTATTACTAATAATGCACTTAATACCCTATACATAGTTTCTTTCAATACAGTTTCGCTGTTTTATCGGAAACTAAGTTGTGACTAACATATGATTATATATCTAATTTATTATATCATACCAAACAGGAATTTTATTCATCAAACATTTCAATATTACTCAGACGTTTTTTTTCTTTTATTACGTTTTTTTAAAGTGAAATTCCATATATGCATTTGCAATTTCAGATCCTCCCGGTAAACCGCTCTTTCAATTCATTGCACAAAATGATATTGCAAGAGATGGTGAAATACAACATAATAAATTAATCGTTAAAGAAGGAAGCAGTTTTACTGTTATATGTAGAACAGATGCAGATCCTCCTCCAACATACACATGGAACATTTCGAATGACGTGAAATCTCCAAATCTAACATTTACAAATATAACCAAGGCAGACATTAGATTGCATGAATGTACTGCAGAAAATGAAATGCAACGCTTCCCTAAATATGAGAGAAAGAAGTCAATATCTAAGGCAGTTCTTGACATAGATGTACAATGTAAATCGATTTTCCTTTTCACATTTTTAAATAATTTCGTTTAATCAAACATAAAAAAGATTCGTCTTAAATTGTATGAACACACTATTATGTTCTGCATTTTTTTGCACACTGTCAATACTTAACGGTTAACCCCTTATAATAGTAAAAGTTCTCCAAATGTTTCTCTAATTCATTTATTTGACTGTTTCATAACACAGTATGATCTTAAACACTTTATATTATATTCGTGTGCGTCCTCAGGCAAATTATGACCGTTAATATGGCCGTTAAACTTCATATTTTGTGATATTTTTGATGTGTATTTACCTTGCAGATCCAAGTAGAATATTACAGTTCAGTGTTACTGATGTTGAAAAGAAACGCGAGTATTTCGAAGTCACTGAAAACGAAACCATCCACTTTATCTGCAGTGTTGACAGTAATCCAGTATCATCAATATCGTTGTCGTATAATGAACAAGAAGTGTGGCATAATGTATCCAAAGGCTTTATTTATACAGATAGAGTCGAATCATGTTTTGATGCTGGCGTTTATACATGTTCAGCCAGCAACAAATACAATTACAAACCATTTAAAGAAGAATTGACCTTACGTGTGAGGTGTAAGTTATACCTTTTTCTTGACTAAACGTGATTATTCTGAATTAGTGTGTCACAATGAGTATGTATTGATTTCTACAGTTTCTTTAATACGGTCGTTGAGAATTCTCATTTGATCATGATAAATAGATTAGATTTTTTTCAATGAATTGTTGTTAAACGAAACCAAACTATTTTCATAGTAATTGTTAACATCTACTTATCCGCCTTGTAATTGTCAGGTTATAAGAGATAAAAGTTTCACTTGTCACTATAAAAAACAGAACTCTTTACGTACATGTTTTACCTTAGCCTTGTGATTTGTAAATCTTTATTTTTCTGATGTTTCAGGTACACCACTGTTATCACCAGAGTTTTATCTAAAAACAAACATTACAAGTGCAAAAAATGTGACTGTTACTTTTCAATTCAAATCTATTGCATATCCAGAACCGACATTCAAATGGTTTAAACTTACCGACTCATCCTGGGAGACATTAGATAATAACAAGAAATTCGAAACTACAACACATGGACTAAACTCCAGTCTCACTATCCGGGACATAACTGAAGACGACTGCGGATGGTACAAGTTAAAGATAAACAACACAGTGGGCTCTTTGGAACAATTTTACTTTTTAAAAGCACACGGTAAAAATTAAAAATGTTATATTGAAATTTGAATATCTTGATTTCAACATGTCATTGAAATGAATTCAGAGTACAGTTATAGCTGAAACATATACAGAAAGGCTCTTGGGACATTATTTATATGCAGTTTTGCAAGGAATTAGGATAATTCTGGTTTTTAACAGGGACGAAGTTGCCTTTCAATATAGGGTTGTCGACTTAATTCAAATCATATTTATTTGTTCTTTCTTTCTTTACTTTCATATTGAATGATTTAATATTTAACAGCACAATTTCGTTTAGTCTAAAGGTATGGTCCTAGAGTATTTTAACTAATTGTAACCACTTTACCTTCTAAAAATTACATGTTTTGCCACCCCGTCATAAAATATAAAATTATCCGTATGGTTAACTGACTTTAGCTCACCAAAGCTCAAACCATTAAAAAACATCTTTTTCTAAACTGACCTGCAGATTTTCACAAAATTTCAAGCACGGTTCGGTTTTTATGTTACCTTCTTCAAAATGGATGTAGATAGTTAACAAGGTAACAGGTACCTACTTTCTTTTAAATGAAGTCATGATGTAATCTTCCTATCCGAAATTGCAATGGTTAGAGCTTCCAATTTGGCATGAAACATTGTCTACATTGTACACAGTTGTTGTTTTTGTTATTTCAAATGATAGTCCTCGGGTCAAATATGATCCCACAACGTGGTGTACTCATGTGTTGTCCTTATTTTATATTATAAAACTTAATTAAAAAAAAAGAAATTTACTTTAAATCACTTAGGACAATATTTGGCATTATTTGCCCTGTTTCAGGGGTCTTTATTTTTCTGTATACATCTCAAATGGTAACATAAATACAAAGCTGTTTCTTAGAAACCATTCATTATAATACTTTGGTCAATATTCTTGGGTTTTGTTGTTTTAAATATATATATCTCATATGTTAAAAGGTGGTAAAAATCTGTTTCTATTAAATCACAAAGGCTACAGGTTAAGAAATGCGCACGCAACAACTGCCAAATTTATAAATATAGTCCTGGCAACAGAATTGAATAAGAAAGCAGCCATTGTCTTTACTCAAGAATCAGTGATTTTCATAGCAACCAGTGATTTCTTTAAACAACTGTTTTCTTTTTATCACAACCAGTTACTTGGCATCGCAATCATTAACTCGTTTCTCTATTAGCAACTAGTAATTTCATACTAGCCTTTGACTTTCTTTTGCAATCATAAATTTTCAATCAACATGTTACATCCATAGCAACTCTTGTTATTCCTTATAGCAAATGAATTTCACAGGAACCATTGATTTTTCAAAGTAATTAATGACTTTCATAGCAACCCTTGGCTTTCCGTTGCAACCAGTGACTTCAATAGCAAACAATGTCAATCATTGAATCCTTTACATTTAATTCGTTAGCAATAATTGACGTTCAATAGCAAACAGTCATTTTCATAGCAAATATTGACTTCAATTCGCAACCAGTGACTGCAATAACAACTATTGGCTTTCCTTAATCATATGTGGCTTTCATAGTAAATTTGAATCACCTATGCAACCGATACCATTTTTAACAGGTAAAGAATACAGATGCAAATGTGTGCTTTGATATACGTTTTGACGAGCTTAACAATCCTGCTTTCACTATTATTTGTGTCTTTTTTGTAGAGTGTTAAAGGTATGTGAGAGATATGAATTTATATTTTTACAGCGATAACATCTTCCATAAACAACATCATTTTATTTAGCGACCCTTCCTGGAAGGCAGTGATACATTGAATGAAATCTTAAATCAAAACGCTTTGTCTTTATTCAAATCTTACAATCAGCGAGAATGTTAGGTAATAAATATTCTAAAAGAAATACAAAGTTTGTTATCTCATAATAGAGATGACAAACAAGTCTTATCATTCAGTGCCTAAGATAATCAAAGGACAGAAGGCGCTGAATTTGTTTGGGTCTCAGAATGTCAGAAAATTGAATATACCAATTTGTTTTTGTAAAGTGCCAGCAATGCTGTTTCCAGTGTTATAAATGTACTTAATTGGCTATAAGGGTAATTGCAACACTAATTTTCAATTAAATGTTTGGCTTAAACAATTAAAAAAAATATTTATATATATAAAAATGTGTTGCCTGGGATTTGAACACCAGGCCTCTCTCTTCCTAAACGAGCGTGTAACCCCTCGATCACGGGGAAATTATAATATAACATTAAAGAAAACCACATTATTCTAAATTAGGGTCTGTAACCCTTATTAATTAGGAGATATTTTGTTCACGATAAACCAGCTGAACACATTATATAATCATGTAGCTTAATATAAGCATGTATATCTGTAAAGAATAACACAATATAAGAAATCTTCGACCAATTGGGAACTATTTTTCCTTCCCCGAAAAGGCTTGAAAATTAATGCGCTTGTCATTTGACAATCTTTACACAGTGATCTCCCCTTAATTTTTCGGCGTAATTGGACTTATAAAGGGAAGTAACCATTTCGAGGAGTTCGGACTACTTTCGGATGTTGCAAATAAGAGTGTCAGGGTCTGAAATTTCGCTACCATTATTTGTTTGGTATGATGACCCAAACAAATAAAAATAATATAAGAAAAGATGATATCCGTTAAAACCCTGTTACTGTTGTGGCGTCCTTGCCATTTTATGGGCATTTGAGAAGGGTAAAAGGATTAGTCGAGCTTGTAATCGGAACGAAAATCTCTCTTTCAATTATTTTACAGAAAAGCCTGATCAGCCTACAAGTTTTGAATATCTGCCTGAGTATGTTACAGGAACTTCCGCAATTCTTCAATGGAAACCTGGATTCGATGGTGGCCTTGAGCAAACGTTTACTTTGAGATACAAATTACAAATAGGAAACAATTGGACTACTATCATTTTACTCGATGTCGGTGACAAGACCATGTACTATAGCCCCATCTTCTTGGAAAGTGAATCAGTTTACTATTCTGAACTGTATTCAGAGAATTCCGAAGGGAAATCAATGAAGCTTAACTTGACATTTAAAACAAATGGTATATTTTAGTTTTATAAAAGTAAAGGTCCGATCATAATGTGTCAACAGATGAATTAAATAATATATTTCAAAATATTGACTGTTATTATGAAGACTGACCCACAGTTGACATGAAAATGAGTAGTGTGAATATTGAATATGCCTAAAAGTTATGCAAAGTAAATCATAAAATTGAAAAGAAAACTGGCAAAAATTATTTTGACTGTCATCTTTTTAAAATGAGAGTCACTCTTTACAATAAGAATTACATTTTCTCCTTTTTTTATTCTCAAGACAAGTTCATAATAAGCCGGCATATACTTAAACGTTTATCATTTTGGTCTTTTAACGATATAAATGTATCTTGTGCTACACGCAGAAGCATTGTTTTGTATTTGAAGACTTTTATTTTGCCCTTACAATATCCACAGAGAATGTGTCTTTTCGAAAAATCGAAAAAAAAGTGTTTATAAAAAGACTTTAATATCAATCCGTTTGACAAAAGAATCAACATTGAGATTTAAATATTATTTGTGTAACAACATAAGAAAACTATATTTTAATACAATAACTATTATCTATTATTTTTAAACTAAATTATGCATAGGTATAGTCAAAACATTAGGAACGATTTTGTAAAGACATCAAAAATGTACCTAATGTAATTTTGAAACTTAAAAAATTTCAATATTTTATGTTTCACTATTTGTTTTTTTTACTTAAATGAAGATATTCCGTATCTTGTTTCTTCCCAAACATACAGCACTGGAACGCACGACAGACTGTACAATGACATGGACATTGGTTTTTGTCTCAGCAAGTACATTTGTTATCACCATTCTAGTTGGTATAGTGGCAACAATATGTTTCAGGATTATCAGGTAAATCTAACGACATTTGAATAATTGAACAATTGAAAAGGTTTAAAACACTGATTAAAATTTAGCATAACTCAAACTCGTAATTTTACATGTAATATAGATCACTATCCGTGTACAAAATAATAAAAGTAAATAGCACATAAAAAGTTATATACAGACTATCAGCTAGTGAATCAAATAAGATACGTTGTTTTTTTCTTTCAGACGAAAGCAAAGTCTGACAAAATCCACGTTACAGACAGCTGGTAAGCATTAATACTAGATCCAAAACAATGGAAATATGTTTTATAATCATCAAAACCGAACAGATAATAATTTAAATATTCAAATAGTAGAAGAAGTTCTAGATCATGATCAATTTTGTATAAAATTGGCTATCCTTTTAAGAATAAAAACGTTGAATATGTTTATACAATAAGGCATATGTCGCAATATTATTCGATTTCCTATGGTATGAAAAACATAACTTACCTATTAAATAATGTATATGATGAGATAATATTTCTTATGTTTACACTATGTAAAAAGGTTTTTTTTTATTGATGATACGATTTCTTTCAGAGATAACAGTTTTAAATCAGACAACATTTAACTCGGATGATATTTATACAACTCATGAGTATGAACAACTTGATGAACATAGTTTGGAGGATAGAGAATACACAGAAATGCAAACAATGGAAGCGGGTGATGATCCGAATCGGGATTATATAACCCCGATATTTTAGAGCTATAGACAGTAAATTGACAGTGTACAATGTTATTGACTATGTATGGTGTTGCTACATTTTATTAAATATATACATTGTTAATGCATTGAATAACAATGCCCTCTGTAAACGGAAATAACATGTTAACAATAGGTTTAAGGGTATTTTGCCTTAAAAGTAACGTTACTGTCAGTCGTTTCGAACTGAAAGCTCTCTTGCTCTTGTGAATAATGATGTGCGATTTCGTTTTATTACTAATCTGTATCATGCAAAAAATACGAAGTACCCATTTAGTACAGATTAAACGATTTTATATTTCATTTTTTTCTATTGATACTTTTATCGTTATAACATTTTCATTATACGTTCATATATGTATAAATAAAAGTGTTTCTAGAGATATTTTAAAAACCATATTTATTAATAATGTGTATAGATTTTGCGTTTTTTTGTCATCATTTCATTTGAGATATGCACATAATTTTAACAAACTACCCCGACTAGAAATAAAAAAAAGGAAAAGTACATGGAATACATAACTACCTCATTGACAATATGGCTTTTCGCGTCGTCACTTGACGACTTAAAGCAAATTCATAGTGTTATAGAATATATCGGTATGAAAGTAGGAGTTGTGTTTTTTTTATTATTATTATTGTTTTCTTTGTTAGGACATCTGTTTACAATCATGAAAGAACTTTACAGATTCCTATCATCAAATAATCTTATGTACCTGACCGGATTGAAAATCATGTCTTTTGAAGAGTGCGGCAAATTTTGTGGTTCTCATACACTTCTGTTACATATTCCGGATAATTTATCTAAAAATGACAAATATCTCACAGTAAGATACTTGTAATTTCCTATAATCAAATTTGTTACTTTTCACATCAAACACAGTAAAACTATCTTTGAAAACAAGTATTGTCACGTCTCTATTACGTTTATGTTTAATATGCATTGTTGTTTTAGAGTTTTACTTTAAGTTTATAAGTGTTTATCATATAAATTTCCTTGTTAAAACGTCTCCCTTCTGTTATTGAGGAAAAAACATGTATTATTTACAAAGTGTCTGTTGCAACTAGTGATAATAAGGATATTAAAGGCTTACTTTTTACTTACTGTCTAGGCGGATAACTAATTCAGCCATATTGCATAAAATATGCCACAAATTACTAATTTGACGTTTTATTCTACTCCCTTTGAACGTTTAGACGGCGTTTTAGTATGGAATTGCTCAATTATTTTGTTATAATAAACCACTTAAATATCCTGTAACATAATTTTTTATAGTTTTATATCATAAATATGATTTTTCTATTACTGGTCAGTTTAACTTGAACCTGACTGTCAGTATGTACTCATATTGTATTTACCTATAATCTTAAGAAAATTTTCTCAGTGTGTATTAAAAAGATGCAATTAAGATACTTTTAGCATTTATCAGTATTTCCAATTTTGAGTTACCACTGAAACGTTTATCAAGATTTCAGATGAATCATAAGTCAATTTCTATAAATTTTATTTCAACATTTCAGTAACTATTTTGTTTTATAGACATATATAAAGTAAGTAAAATATTTCTCAATTTTCCTGTTAAGGTGACAACGGAGTCAAATATCACTAAAAATACCTAAAATGAGATTTTTTGCTAAGTAGATTTATTTACCTTTTCTGAATACATTCGTGATTTAATTTTGGAAGCAGTTAGTGCAGAAATGTTTTTAAACGTTTTATTACGATACATATACCATTTTTATCCGCTACGCGCCTAACCTGTCAATTATCGATAACGCGCCGCCCCCTATTGAGGCATCAATGAGTGAAATCGGTAGTTTCATATAGCCATGAATTACCGGTTTATTTGTTATTAGTCGATATCACTCGTAAGTACATGTATCATAAAAATACTGTACATCTTTTATGAATATATCAACATTGTATCGTCTACAATTTAAGTATCCATTTTATAAATTAAGAAATTGTCGGCCAAGATGTAACAAATAAAACCCCAGTCACACTACAGCTTACGATTACTTGCGACCACCGGCGACTTGTGAAACTGACGATCATCAGCGATTGTCTGCGACCAAAACCATTTTTGCACAAATAAATTTACTTTTGCTAGTATCGTAAGACAAGTCATCATTGACAATCGCACGACAGGTCATAAGTAAGCGTACGATGGTCTCAAGATTGCCTGGGATTACTTACGACTATCCGTAACATAACATGCGATCACCCACAACTTGTCGAACGACCATCACGACGATTACTAAAGACTACTTAAGAATTATCAGTGACTAGTGGCAATTTGTAAAGACTGTCGTAAGATTGTCGCACTTCAGAACGCACCATCGTGCGACAGCCTTAAGACCTTTATAAGATCACTAGCGACCTGTTTGATCGCAAGGAGGTTTTTGTGCAAGCTCAAAACCTCTCTACGACTGAAATTGGTCGTTGGACCTAAATAAGATAACCTGCGACTGTCAAAGATCACCGATGACCGTCGTAAGACGTTTTAAAGATTGTCCGCGACCAGAGGTCACTGGTGATCGTGAACTGGTCTTCACTGGGCGTAAGCTCTAATGTGACTGGGGCTTTATTTAGCATATAGCGGTAAATCGCACGACTATGGGGATGGTTAATGCAGGCGTCACACTGTCTGAATTTGACATCAGATGGACACACGAATAAGGAAATGTTCAAATTCGGATCTGATCGTTATAACATCTTGTCATTCGTGAGGGCATCTTTTGCCATCGTATGATCCTCGGCTAAATATTTCAAGCTCCGGCAGCAACTTCGTTAGCGGTTCCAAAATCTTTGGTATGCCAAAAATTGCACGAAGACATTGCGAAGGTTTCATTTTCGTGTTGAATTCGTAGGTCAATTTTTGCCCTTCGTAAGGCGTCGTGAAGCCATCTTGTCAAATCGTGTAGCCTTTCGTTTTTCTTCGTCGTGTGATCATCGCTGCAATCTGGCATTTTTAGCCCCCAAGAAGAAAACAATACGAAGTAAACACGAAGATTCCCGATAGTCTTAAAAAGGGAACACGACTACGTGAAGTCCCTGCAATACCGTCGTGTCACCATCGTATTTTGGTACGATGTCATCGAGATGGGACCACGATGAGGCGAAGAAAGCAATTCTAATGGCTCAAGCGTTGCATGTTTATCATGGTCCCGGACATATAAACAGCTAGACCATTTCCTCATCTGTCCATTCTCGCGCATCTCTTCAGAGACATCAAAAGCTTCCATTATTTGCAATTAATTTACAATTATTTTCAGTTTTATTTCATGCAGAATTGCATGCTTTGTGATGAAGTCAACCCGAGAAAAAGAAGGTAGCAGCATTGCCTTACTTTTAAAGACACCTAAGAAAATATGATGGGGCCCACAGGCCCATCTTGGATGGTATGATAAAGTTTTATCAAAATATGATAAACAAACGATTCAAAAAGGAAAGGCAGCGTTCAATGAACGCAACACTCCCAACGACCCAGCAACAAGGACCAAGTAATACAAAAGGTCTCCCCCTAGAAAAAACGGAAGGGCGCAATGTAGAGCACGGATAGGCTTATCACTTAAAATGGATACATAAGACGAAATGGTAAACGACAAGGAATCAACCGAAACAAATAAATGATGATTTATTAAATAATTGAAAATAGGGGCAAAAAAGGGGAAAAAAAAAAAAAAAATACTTACACTTACCGTAGACGAGAAAACAACAGGGGACAAAAACCCGTCAAAAGTGTTCACCAAAAACAGTATGAAATACGTTTGCAATCTGAGGAATAAAGAAGGGGCCGCCAGGCCTTGGACCGGTCAGCAGCATAAGTAACTACTTGGGAGTTTTTTAAACGCGATTTAATGGTGCAACCGGACCTCACTCTTAGCCCACCATGGTTCCTATAAACGAAACGGTGTAAATAAAATTAAATTCCCCGCCAAGTTAAAATTTTTTATAAACAGTTTTTGTTTTTATGGTTCAAAAAGGTAATAAGTAAAAAACCCCGAAATGATCATGTAGATACATATAAAAGGAAATACCATTTGAAAACCACAACAAAAGAAAACAAGAGTAACAAAAAATCCGGCCTACAAGGACCCGACGAAGCAAGGCAGAAGCAACGAGAACATTAAGGCATTCAGTCCTCCCCAAATGGCATTAAAACTGTCCATCAAACGAAGTTTAATCCCACATTGGTCGTCAGATGTAATACAAAAAGAGGAAAGGACCAACTGTAAAAAAGTGTGAACACTAAGCATGCCGGGTATAAAGTTGGTCCGTCAGATGTAATCAAAGAGATACTGAGATACATATACCCCGTCAGTTGTTTGCATGTGGTACGTCTCCATCTAAATGTGGATAGTTTTTTACTATACCATAGTCAAAGTCATCACTTTTTATCATATATTTTTGTGTGAATAGAATTGTTTCTGATAGTATTATGAAGAGCCATAATAAAGTTTAAAACGTATTTAATTAGCTCCCGATACTATCTGCAACTGAAATTTGCCGCGGTTGGCCGTGGGTTGTATACCAACTGGAGGTGAAGGTCACTTGACGCCTTCGTATCCACGTTCGAAGGCATCGTACTCAAAATACGACGTCGTGTACCTATCCTGTGACCCTTCGCGTGTCCTGCTGGTAACAAAATTGCATCTTTTGAGGAGACTTCGTGTGTTGTATCGAATGCGATCGCGGGTGACTTCGGTAGCCAATCTTGTGTGACTCGGATGCGATCGCGTACTTCTTTAGGAATCGCACTTGTTTTCGGCTGTTGAGAGACTGTCCCGACAAATTTCGGGGCTACCTTCGCACGAAATTAAAAATTTCATATTCGTATGCCCATCTTGTGTCAATTTCGGGACAGTGTGACGCCTGCATATAACACATTTCATGTTGGGCCCTTTGTGTATGTTGCTATTGATAGTAACTCTGAACTCTTTGATTATTTATGATCAATGATAACAAATTGAAAACATAAAATCGACAAAATTTCGTCACGTGTGAATGCGCATGGTGAAGATTAATCTAATAAGCGCTATTGTAGGAAATTTTTGCCTATTGTTTTTTGGATATATAAAATTGGTGCCCTTTCCTTATGGTCCAGCGACGCGCTCGGTTTGTGCAATACAAAACATTTTTCCAGTTTTTGCTTTTCCTTTGTTACTTGGGATATAGCAAAAAACCGAAGGGGGGGGTCCTTAAAGGTACGATTTTGGGGCTACAGTAGTAAATAAAAAATTTTGAAAATTTTATAAATTAAATTAAAACTTCTCAAACAAGGTCGACGGAAAATTGTGACATGCTTAAAAGGAACTAAAAATATGGTTTCACCTTTAAAGTTTATGTATTAATATATTCCCCTAAAAAATAGAGTAAATTTACAAATGTGTTCCCAAACCGGGCCCCGATAGTAATTATTTCGATCAGAAATGTGATGTTGTTTTTAAATATAGCTGATGTGAAAAAATGTATATGTTTTAATAAATTAATTTTGTGATTACAAACTCCTTGGAATCGCGTATTGCCAAAAAAGTGTCACAAAAACTTGTAAACGTGTAACAGGAAAATTAAAAAGAATAAA